TTATTATTGAAATAATATACTTTAGAATTTTTGTTAAATATAATTGTAATGCTCTTTATACGCATATTTTATACACTTAGTGGTATATTTAGAAAAGGGTGCAGGGGTACATATGTCATCAACCATGCAATGCTAATATAAATACTTCTTTATTTTTGCTTGAAATGTGTCAAAAAATATTCGTAATAACTTGTCAATTGAAATATTTTATTTGTAACCTACCAATATAAATTTCTAACTATATTAACGCATATTAATTTATTCGATAAAAAATAAGAAATCTATGTTAGATTTTTTTATAGAATCTTAACTTAATACTTTCATTAATGTAAAATAATAAAGTCTTCCATATCACTTTAAAACAAGATTATTACTAGTCACTCCTATAATTATTTAGGGGTTTCTAATGGTAATTTTGTAAATTGCATTATATACTACTTTTCTGAATATTGATAATCGAACCACTCGGCATAATTTTTAATTTTTATTAAAGGATCTAATTTATTGTTTTTATCATATTGAAAACAATATTAACACAGCCTGTCTTAAAAAACCATTAATACTTATTGTAATATTAAGATACATTAAATATATTTTGTTTAGTTATCAAAAATTAGTACGTACTTAGCGCGATTAAAGACACTTTGACTGTGTTTAAAAATTATAAATAAGGTGATTATTTTATTATGAATCACTTTATTTAAAATTAATATATCATAGTTAAACCAAGTTTGTCAACTACACATTGTAGCAAATAAACATTAGCTAATTAATAACGGAAAATTGTTAACACCAAATAATTAATTTCTACCATTACGAAATGAAATTTTGATGCGCTAATCATAATTTATTTTTATATTTTGGTAAAGGCTAAAAAAAATGTCGATAGTTAAAATGTTTTTATTACAAAAAATCATATATTCAATTTAATTAAACTTTAAACAAGTTTTAATAATTTTTATTAGCATTTGAACTAGTCTAGTTTGAAACAATTCTTCAATTGTATATATCAATTTTAAAAATCATCCTAATTCAATTACAATTATCATTAAAATATTTTTTATATAGATAATGAATCGTTGTAGCTTATTTTCTTACAACTAAATACGAAAGCAACAAATGTTTTGTTTATCTTAATACATATAGGCATTTTTAAAATGAAAAAAATACATTCTCGATTAAATTTAATAGTGACTTATAGCACACCACAGCAAACATATTTTCCATATTAATAGAATGTATCATGTATTATAAACCACTTAATTATTTAAAAGATAAAAATAATATTGAAAATTTTTGTATTAGCTCCATTTTTTTCTTAATTTATCAATTTAAAAGTATTTTTATGTATATCCTTTATACGTTATAAAGTCGTCAACTTTAATTTTTCAAATGAAAACATATTCAATTCACTTGCTTATTTATTTTATAATGATAATTTTTAAAAATCTAATCAGAACCAAAATTCTATGTGGGTTTAAAAATCAAATCAACATTTTTTCTTTTCAAATTTTGATATTGTTCCAAAAACCTATTTCCTTTAAACTTACATCAAATTAAAGCTAATACAATATTTTTTAAAAAATATTGTAAATATTTAAAAGTGCTATTCGAATTTATGATTTCTAGGTTTTTTTGACATTAAAATCTAAAATCGTGCAATATTTGGTAAAATTAATATATTTTGAAGAGTTTTACAGAGCAACAGCACATCTACACCATACAAAGCTAAATTAAGTTTTGGGTTTTTCAAAGTACTATAATATGAATGAAAAAGAAAGACGTTACAATAACATGTTTGTTATGAATAATGAGCCTCTAAATTCGATAAAAACGTAATTTTTGGTGAATATAATAAACCAATCTAACTATTTTTATAATTCTTATTAAAGTATCACAAAAGGACTAGAAATAAATAACAATATGCGCCCTTATAGCCAAAACTTTATAAGATTCTTAATAAAAATTACAAAAAAAACTTTTAATATTAAGCACTCGACAAATGTATCTCATCTAACTAGAGTGTGTGGTTATGTGCATAACAGCTGATCGCCCGGTGGTGATGATATCCACTACTACACGTGTAGTAATAGAATAATGTTGAGTGGACTATATGAATTAATATAGAATGATTAATAGCAATTAAATGTATTATACATGAATCATAAAATCTTATATACATCAATTTCGATGGAGGGACACTTAATACTAATGCCACAATGGCGCTAATATAAGCAAATAATAAATTATAAATGCGAGTAAGTCTTAAAAAGAATATGAACAAGCATTATACTTATTGACTAATTAAAATAGCTGATGATAATGTTGAATATTGAATGGAACAATTGAAGTTAAATGCAAGTAGTTGACCAGTATGTACAATATGCTACAACAAAAACGAATACAAAATACTATCGGCTCGCAAAACGCCATAGAGCTTACAGCTAAAAAATGCTAAGATGGCGGCGGCAATACAGACATAGAGAGAAGACCGACAACAACTCGGTGTAGCACAACGATATCATAAGTAATCATAACATACAATTTCTCTACAGCACATTTGACCGTGTATCAAACAATAACTTTTATTAAATATCGAAAATTTAGTGAAAATCGGAATTAAACTACGTAAAAAATTGATAAACATATCCTTATATCTTGATAAACATGGTGTAATCGGAGAATAAATATTATTTTTGATCTCCTGAAAAGTAAGAAAATCTGTATACAATATAAATGGAATAAGCAACACGATAGTTAGAATTTCTTTGCGAGCGTCTACGGTAAATAGTTCTGTGATGGTGTCACGTTACCATTATTGTGAGAATTATTTTAATAAAATACAGATAGCACATCCGGTTCCTGAGACTGACGAATTAACAAATAATATTTATTGCCAAATTGGCAATAGTTATAATTATTATAAAAACCCAAAAGACCTGACCAACGTGGTCAGTCGACTCCAGTTCCTTGTGTTATTCATCAGCCTCAGTACTCGGTTGTCGCTGTCTGGATTACTGCTTAAAGTAAAGTCTTTGTTTATTCCTTTTTAAACCTATCTACTCTCTTCCACAACATTTCAGAGTACTTGTGTCTTGCACTTCGTCTGCACCTCATACCTAGGTGTTACCCTGATTCCCTTCCTGTAACAACAGCCTTTCGACACCCACAGCTAATCCGGAGTGTCAGCTGAGTACGGTGACTGCTGTACGACAACACGCACGTGAATACCTAAACAGCAGGCACCACATCCTCATCTTCGTACACATTTACATTTCATTCTCCACCGTTTCCTTTTTTTTTATTGTGTTACGTCAGTTCTAGATCCCTGAAATTTTGATAAATTTCTGCTAATTCTCAGATATTATAAAAATCAAAATAATAATAAACTTTTATTTTAAATCTCAATCTTTGAAAAATTTTAATATGCAATCAATTGAACTAATAAAAAAATTATTAGATCAAAATTAATTAATTTTTTTATTTCTAACATATTTATTATTTATTCTTCTATTTTATTTTTCTAACATATCACCAAACTAAAAATAGGGGTTTTCCATTAAAGAATATTAAAGTTTAAATTTTTTATCGCTGAAATTGAATTATTATTCAATTTCATAATTTTGTAGTCATTTGAATCAAACAATATTGTCCTTTCCAAAAATTGGAAATATTTTCTGAAATAATAAGTGTCTTATCCTTCATTGAGTACCCTGTATTTGTATTTCTTAATTAAGAGAGTCATTACCTACCTCATTTAGAAGTTTCAGATGTATTATACAATTTTTAATTGGTCTATCAAGTAATTAAAAAATAAAATAAAATAAAAAATGTTGAGCCGAAAAATATTTAATAGGGACAATCGACCCAATGAATCAACATTAGGGGATTATTAAGAAAATCATTACTAATAATTCCCTAACGTATGCTCCTGTATATTCATTAGTTAATTTTTTTCAATAACTGAGCTGGTTAAACTAATTATAAGCAAATTGATTTATATATAGAAATTTCATATAAAATAATGAAAAAAATACAACTTTCCTCATTTATTCCTCATATATATTCATAAATATCTCTTGTACTCCCCTAGTTTGAATAATACTTGAAATTTCCAAAACTTTTTATTCATGATGTTATTTTTTTGCTTTTGCAATAAAAAATAATTTGTTTATTGAAGCTCAAGTTAGAACCTAACACAGCAAACAACAATATTATATCGTTTAAGTAAAAATGGTATAAGTGTGATTTAAAACAAATATATGTGTTCATTTGAATTGTTTTCAAAAATTTCGTCAAAGTTTTAATAATATAACATTAAATACAAAAAAAAAAAATTGAAATCATTATGTATTTTTTAAATCCAAAATGATCATCTTCCCCAAGCGTTAACTTGCCTGCACTTCCCTAATTTTTATGTTTAACATGTAAATAATTAGTAAATACTAAATACACAATTAAATTGTGTTATAATGTTTTTCAATAAATCAGAACATATTTTCGAAATATATTGTTTTTAAACAATGTAATTATTGATCTAAATTTAATAACTGTATTAATCATTTGATTGTAAATAGGACCACTAATGAAAAAATAAATCTAATAAATTCATAAAAACGATTAAAAATAAAAACAAATTTCAAGATTTTTTACTTCAAAATATGCTGAAATAAAATTTTATTAATAACATATTTTTTTTTTTTAATTTAATAATGACATAAAATATGACATTAGAACAGCTAAACAAAATTTTAGTTTAAAATAGAGATACTATGAATATAATTTTTAAACATAGCATTATAAAAATTTAATGTTACATAGTTTTCATTTGTTTAAATGAAAACTATAAAATAACGTAGAATTTGAAATTGCATTTTTAGTTATTAATACTGTTACACATCTCTATAAAAAAATTATGTGTTTATTTTAGCTATCTTTCTGTATTTTTAATTAATAAAATATAGTTTTTTATAATATTATAAACTTGAAATTAAAAATTAGATTGAATAACAGGTTTAATCTGATTTTTTATAGATTTAAGTTTTGTGAATTTATTTTGTTCAAAACAGTTTATTATAATTTTACAATAGAACAATCATCACAAGAAGTTATGACAGTCTAAAAGACAATATACAGGGTGATTTTTTTATCATAACCCATTTAATTATTATAATTTAAAACATTTTTTTTTTTATTATCTTTAGTTACATATTATTCTTGAATTATTAACTATGTAATACTTTTTAAATTCATTCCTTATGCCTGGTAAGGGTGTCAACTTTGTTTTTTTAAATGGCAACACATATTTTTAATTTAATAAAATGTTTGAGTTTTTAATTCAATAATAAATGGCATTTGAATTTTTAATGAAACTTAGTTCGTTTATTAGATATAAACATTTAAAGTTTCAAATTTTTGAGTTAATATATAGCTATAATACACAAGGGATTACAAATACAGGTAGCTAATTGGTTTTTTATGATATTGCTATCACAGTCACGGATTGTTTATTATCAATTATGACTATCAATAGATATACTTTTTGTATTGTCAGTTAGTGTATTTATAAACTCACAACAATGTACCTTACTATCATTGATAATAACAATGCTGTGTACCTGCTAATATCGATGTCATAAAAAACCAATTAGCTACCTGTATTTGTAATCCCTTGTGTATTATACCTATATATTAACTCAAAAATTTGAAACTTTAAATGTTTATATCTAATAAACAAATTAAGTTTCATTAAAAATTCAAATGCCATTTACTATTGAATTAAAAACTCAAACATTTTATTAAATTAAAAATATGTGTTACCATTTAAAAAAACAAAGTTGACACCCTTACCAGGCATAAGGGATGAATTTAAAAAGTATTACATAGTTAATAATTCAAGAATAATGTGTAACTAAAGATAGTAATAAAAAAAATTGTTTAAATTATTATTATTCTGTAAGTAATTAAATGGGTTATGATAAAAAAATCATTCTGTATAGCAAAAACATATTAGTTCTTATTGATTTTGTTTAAAATTGAAATTTTCAGAATTGAATCTTAGTATTTATTTGTCAGATATCTTCTACTTATTTTTCCTTGCCTTTATTCAAACTATAATATATTTAGTACGTTGTCTTAAAGTTTTAAAATCTTATGTTATGTATTACTATTATTAATACTATAAGTTCAAAAAAAAATTTGCCCTGACAATTTATCTTTTATATACAAATGACTGTTGTAATTAAAATATATACTCTATTTGTGCTGACTAATTTGATTTCATATTTTTATTATTTCGACTTAATATTTTTATAACTTTTTGAAAAATATATAGATTAATACAATTTATCTTTTATAAGTACATCATACATTTTTCTTTCATTTGAAATAATTTTTTTAGCTAATTTTTTTAAGACTTTAAGTAATTTCTAAAAGTAATAATTAAAAAGATTTATTAGGTAACTCTAATTCACTATTCAAATTTTATTTTTTAGAATGATGAACCCTTACAAATTTTTATGCCTGTTGATGTTGAATGGCAGGTATCAAAGTGCAACGAATTGAATCTTCTTTTTATAGAAGTTTCTTCCAAAGAATTGCACTATAAATTCCTAAAATCTCCGAAAATAAAAATTGAAACTAAGGGAGACGGAAGTTGTTTTTTTAATGCACTATCATATTGGATAACAGGTTCAGATGAGTTTGGTCAAGAATTACGTAAAAAAATCATCGATGTAAATAATTTATACATAAATTAATAGCTTAGTATCATGTTTTTATTATCATATTTACTCTTAAATAATTTTTTTAAGTTTCTGGCTGATTCTAAGAATTTTAAATTAATGACTTTGGATTATAAATGGCAGAAACGTATTGATGAGATGCACGACTCGAGTAAGAAATTACAATAACTATAATAGTTATATTAGTGTAAGAACACTAACAAATCATAGTTGCCAAGAAAAAAAATATATGCCAAATTTACGTTTTTAAAATTTTTTATCCTTGAATTAAAATAAAATAAACGAATATTATGACAATCTCCAGTTGGAGATATTATGAAATTAGAATATTAATGTGCTATCTTCACAGCTTCATTAATTTAATAAAAAAATTAAACTTCTCATGTGTTCTCTCCATGGACAATAATGATTAGATAGGCTACTGAATGTGCCTTATAATACGTTCTCAAAGTCCGTCTATGGAACTTCTTTTTTTATTTCCATGAAAAAATTTAATTACTAATTTTTATTTCTACTACATTATAACATGGATAATATTATTTATGGTTATGACTTCACTCATAACCGCATTAACCATTATGGTATTGAGTATCTTTGTGAGACAGTGATGTATCTGCTCTCTAGGATCGCGGCAACTTAAGTTAAATATATACAAATGGTCTATCCATTCTTTGTTTTTTATGGTTATCTACTGTATGGTACAGAACGCCTATAGAAGGATCTAGTTGACCAGTTGTTACAAAGATCATTGATTATATTATTTCGTGGGACAGCTGATCACCAGCGTCTTGCTTTACTCTCCCCCTTGCTCACCCAACACGATAAATCGATGTCAATTGTCATCCGTGTACAGGTTATTGTCGTAAGTCAGTCAGTGAATTGTTTTTTGTGTCACTTTTTTTCTGTTGCACGCGCCTTCGCTTGAATGTTAAATTGTCCGGCCGTTGTACGCCATAGTTTATTATTACTTGTTTATTGTACCCTTGTGCTCAAAGTTAACGTGCTCTTACATGCCACTAGTAATTGGGCCCTGACCATAACTAAATATCTTCATTGCCGTAGTCTATTCTCATCTGCCATTATGTACCTAGATTTACACTCTGACTCGTCATACTCAGATTTTCGACACCATTACCACAAGATATCATACAGTCCATTCATCATTATCAACAACGTCATCTATTCAGCTGAGTTTATATTATTTTTTAATGTTATTTATTGTTTGTTTTAATTGAGTTTAACTATTTTGTTTTATGCCGCTTCGCCGACCATTAGTATTTAAGAGCCCTCCCGTTACCCCTTAAATTTAAGATACTCTCTGAGGAATTTCTAATATATGTGATTATTTGTTATTTAATTATTGTCTACTTTCGTTTACTTATTGGATGTATAGCTAACCGTCATCTCCTAGGTGACCCACTCCCGCATCAATAATTAACGATTTAAACAGGCTTAAGGTAAATCGGCATACTAGTGCGGTGCATAACTAGCCGTCCTACAGTCTAGCTGCCTCGTACAAAACACCTACTAT